GGGCCCCCTCACCATGGACGGTGAGGTTGAAGTTGCAGCTGTCAAATTTGTCCTTGGTGGACACCTCACAGCGGTAGCCTCCAGCAAAGGTGGCTTGGGCATCGGTGATGTGCAGCTCAAACAGGTAGACCTATGGGGGTGAGGTGTTAGGGGAGATGAGAGCCAGAAGACAAGGCCCTTCACCCCTACAAGAGACGGGGGGGCGGCTAATGGCCACCAACCTCTCACCCTTCAAGGTTAAGTTACCCCATGCGGTTTTGTGTAACTAGCAAAAAGAACCCCTTCTCAAGACGTACACTGCCACCTGCTGGCATAGGAAGGCAATGAAATATAAATCAGTACGGCTGCAGGCAAGTGGTGTTCACTGCGTGAGGCGCTAGGGTGCTGTGCGCAGCACACACCACTGAACTGTGGGCCCCGCCCTGCCAGAGGGCCCCCGCCTGGGCCAGATTTATAGAGTGGAAGCAGCAGAGGCTGAGAGTCCAAGCGCAGGTTCTAGGCCTGGCTCTGAGTGACTTCTGAGGCTTTGGTTTCCTGTCTGTATAACAAATTATTCTGGTTGGCCACTGGGGTCCTTGCTAGCTCTGATTCCCATCCATCCAGGGGCCTTGTACCCTCACTGGCGTGTGCCTCCATGCTTCCCAGTGTCCCTTTGCCTGCCTGAACTCCCTGGGCCCCCCAAGCCTTATTATGTCCCCCTGAGACTATCATGGTCTCCAAGTTCCCTGTGTCCCACAGGTCCCCTGAGCCTCCCCATGCTGTCCATGTGTCTCTGACCCCGAACTTGCTTCCCAGGCTCCCCATGGCCCTTCTTTGCACCCCCTGGGTGCCTCCAGTCTCCTGGTGCCCCAGTGCCTCCCAGGGCTCTCCGTGTGCCCTCCTTCCATGTGTCTCCATAACCCCCAGGTTCCCGGGCCCTGCAGGCCCCACCTTGCTGGCCCGGTCGTAGCTGTCGTGCAGCTGCAGGTGTTGGCCCACCTTGCTGCTCAGGTCTACCCACTTGCCCTTAAACCACTTGACCATGGGCGGTTTTAGGAGGCTGGCCCCAGCCACTCGGGCTGAGAAGGTGATGCTGCCACCTGCAAAAGAGGGATGACAGTCGGGCTTGGGGGATGCCCTGCTGCCTCCCTCCCCTCTCCAACCGGGCTGCAGCAGCCCCACACTCACCCACGGTCACCTCGCCATCCTGGGGCCGCATCACAAAGAGGCCAATGGGGTCATCGGGGGCAGCAGGGCCATTGGGGGCTGCTGAACCTGACCCTGTGAGCAGAGAGACCTTTGAGATCTGCACTGGGACACCCCATGCACTGGCCCTGGCCCTTCCTGCCCAGCCCCTCTCACCTTCGGGACTTGGGGAGCCTCCTTCCACCTCAGTGGCTGAGGCCAGGGCTTCTCCGGGACCTTCAGGAGCCTCGGCAGGGGTGGGGGCAGGGCCTGGCGGGGGCTCTGCCTTCTCTGCAGGAGATGGAGGGAGGGTCATGGAGCAGCTTTTACCCAGAGATCCCTGCACCTAGTCTTTCCTTGGTCTTTGTAGACTCATCAAATACCACAGTGTGCACAGAGCTCCATCTGGTCCCTGTCTTCCTCACTCCCCCATGACCCTATCTCTCCCCTAAATGCTCCCCCTTTCTACACAACACCTCTGTGAGCTCCTGCACCCCCCCCACCTCCCCCCTCCTGAGCATCAGACCCAAGAACGCACTGTCCACGAGGCATCTCACTTGGATGAAGGTTCCAAAACTCTTCCCACTCCCAGGACCCTCTCTGAGCGACTCACGTGGAGCAGGGGGCCAGTCTGTGGCCTTCCCCTCGCCCTCACGCCCGTCTATGCTCACGTCCCGTGGGCCTGCTCTGACCCCGTCTGACATTCACCCTCCTTTCCTTCCCCAGGCTCTGGCCTTGGTCCAGGCCCCCAGGCTGGGCTCCCTCCACGCCTACACCCCAGGTTCCAGGGGCTTCCCTGGGGAACACAGCCCACAGCTGCGTGGGTGTCCAGCAGGAGGGCACCTTGTGTATTCATCTCTGAATTTCCCCCACCTCCACAATGGCTGGAATAGGCCAGGGAGCCACATAGGGCACTCAGAGAGGTCTTGCTCTCTCAGACAAGGGGGGCTTTCCTGGCAGAGGGCACAACCAAAGCAAAGGCAGGACAGTGGGAAAGTACCTCCTAAGCCCTGGGCAATGGAGAGTTGGAGGGGCTGCCCCTGCTCAAACCCCCAGAAGTTCAAACCTCAGGGAAGACTGACTAAGGTCTTACCTGCTTCTATGACCTTGAGGTCAAACTTGACCTTGGAGGAGCCAGCGATGACTGCATAAGATCCCTGGTCGGCAGGGCCCACGTCCCTCACTGTCAGCGTGTGCCGTGTGCCCTCAGCTGCCAGGCCAAACTTGTCGCCGGCACTGATGTCATTGCCCCCGCGCTGCCAGCGCACCTTCACTCCTGCCCGCTCTGTCTCCACCTCGAACACGGCAGCGCTGCCGGCGGCCACCTCCACTGACCGTGGCTTCTTGCTAAAGGCTGAGACTGAGGGTCCAATGGAGGCTGTAGGGGCCCCTGGCTTGCCCGGCACCCCACCCTTGCAGCCCCTATTATTAAAAACAGCGATAAGCTCTTTAACTCATCACCTCATTTAATGTTCTATCAGGTAGGTGCAGTTATTATGCCCATTTCTCAGATGAGGACACCAAGGCTCAGAGAGGTTAAGTGACTTACCATTATCACACAGCCAGTAGGCAGGAAAGCCAGGGCTGTGGCCCTAGTCTCCACACAAGACTTTTGGTAAGTGCATCCCTGGATAACCCACCCAGGGAAACCAGCGATGAGCTCACCTTCTCCCCACCATCTGGGGCCCTTGGCGAGGGACGGGGACACTGCCTACTTGGATGTGGCTAAATTTGTCCTCTAAGAGCCTCAGGCTAAGAATCAGCAACTGAGATAAAGCTAGCCTGGGAGGGGGTTGGGGGCAGGGGGCTGGATCCCTGCCTTGGACAGCCTCTTTAAGGACACAGGCCAGGACCAGGACCCTGTGGTCCTGTGAAAGGCTGTGACCTTCTCTGCCCTTGGCAGGGGCTCAGGGGCCTCTTGACCTTCCTCTCCCAGAGCAGAAAGTCTGCACAACCTCAACGTGGGGCCGCACCCGGTACGGGGGCCACAGGGGTGCAGACTCATAAAGCAGAGAATCTCACGATGAAAAAAACCAACCCGTCCTGGTGTAGATGAGGAAACTGAGACCCAGAGAGGGGAAGTTCTTGTCCAGCATTCAGTGAGCCTGGCTTGAGTCTAGACTCAGCCTGGGCTCCTGGCTGCAGCGGACTTTCCCCAAAGGGCAGGCCTCACCTTGCTGCAGAAGGAGATGGGAGTGGGTCGGGGAGGGTCGCCCTGCATCTCAGAGTGGGGGATAACCCTGGGGGCTTGGCCGTCTCTCCTCTGTGCCCCTGACTCTGGCTAACCCTCACTCTCATCAGAAAAATAAGAAGGAGAAACAGAGAGTCAGAAAAGGACCCAGAAAGACAGTACGCACCTCAGGAACTCAATCCCAGGCCTGCCCCTAATTGCAGATGCCCCCAGCACTCCCTGCCCCACCCTCAGCCCAACCCCAGGCCTGGAGCTACCTGGCTTCTTCCCTGGCTCAGGCATCTTGAGAGAGGTTGAACCTGGAACTGAGCAGGCACAGGCCACCCAAAGAGGATCTGAGCAGGGACCCGTCCCCCCACTATATAAGGGGCCCTCCCCCTCCCCAGGCCCTCCTTATCTGCCTCCTTCCCAGCTACCTGCTAAATATAGACAAATTCCAGAGAGCAAGGGCTCTCCAGGAGAAGGTGGGGCTGCATTGCTCCTGGCCCCCATCCCTTCCCCTGCCAGCCCCATATGGTGGCTTCTGCCCCCCCAGTCCTCAGTGAACCTCAGGGGTACCTCAGGCCCTGTCTGCACGTCCATCTGACAGAGGTATTGTGCCCTGGGAGTGTGCTGGGCCCACGGCCCTGAGGAGGATGGAGCAAATGTGCATCCTTGCTGGGCCGCGTGGGTGGTGGTTATGCACACAGACCCTGCCGTGGGGCTGCCCTAGTCCTGCGGTGGCCACTTCCTTAACCTCCTAGGGCCTCAGTTTCCTCATCTGTAAAGTGGGGCTGGTGATGGCAGCACCCACCGCATACGGCTGCTCCATAAATGAAGTGGGTTCACCTATGAGAATGCTGGCGCAGTGCAGGCACAGGACCGTGCTGAGTGTCTGCGCTGCTTCTTGGCCCCGCGTATGGCTGCTCACAGGGCCCTGGGCCGGCTGTGGCGCCCCGGGTGCGCTCAGAGCCAGGTGGGGGAGCAATGGTGGGGGCTGACGTTGCCCCAGGGGAACTGAGCCAGCAGATGAGGGCATGAGGGAAAGTCTCTAAATACACCCCGAAGTGGAAGACGCAAGCAGAGCGGGCTCTTGCCAAAGTCACAAGGATCCACACAAAATTCCTGTAGAATGTTCCTAATCCCCTCCTGCCCCCCACCCCCACGGTTCCTCTGTGACCTCTCACCCTGTGACTGCCCCTCCCTGACCCCCTCACATGGGGGCGTCGCCCGGGGTGAGCAGGGAGCCCCTGTGGCACAGGCATCGGCTGCGGCTGAGACTCACCACCCCGTAAGCAGGAATCCATCCTTTCCTGCCATGTTACCACTTTTCAACCACGTCGCACACTCCTGAGCCTGCTTTAAAAGAGGGCTGCGCGCCATGGACCCCCTCTCGGGGCCTGGAGCCCGTCAGGGAGCGTCACACTGCGCTTCCTTGAGCCTGAGCCGGGTGAGGAGGCGGGCGGGGTGTCTGCCCCCCACGAGTGGCCCCAGATCTGGGTTCTACTTCACAGGTCTCCTCACTCCCAGGCTGTCGCCGCCTCTCGCTCCTGACCACCCAGGAACGAGAAGCTGGGAGTCTTCAGGGCTCACCCTTTCTGTGTCTGCCCTCGGTGGCCTGGGAGCCCGAGAACACAAACACAGGGCCTTCACCCAAGAGGTCTGCTCACACGCACTCTGGGAGGACACTTTGTGGCCCGCTGCAGCTCCGGGGCTCAGTTCCTGCTCCCCACCTCGCTGAACTGCACCCCATTCCAGACACGCGAGGCCTCCTCTCACACCGACAGCCCACGTGGAGTCGAGCGCTGCCCCTCGCCAGCTGTGTGACCTTGAGCCAATTCGCTGACCTCCATGCCCTCAGTCTCCCAGCCTATACAGTGGGGTGACATCAGACTCCACTTCTCAAGGCTGACGTAATCAGTGGCCAGAAAACCCGGTGCTGTTGCCGTTACTCTCGTCACTACCACTGGGGCATAACCTAAGGAATGTGGGTTTAAGCCTCAGTGAGGCTTATTTAAAAACCCATTTAGCAGGTGTGGAGGGCTTTGTAATGATTCATTCCCCTAATAACAACTGAGGACTCATTTCTTCCACCAGCTCTGACCCCTGGCAGGTCACCGTGTCCTCATGTCCCAGCACCAAAGTGTGGGTAGGGTCCTCGGGAAATCCCGACAGACACATGGGAAGAGGAGAGATCACACGGGGCGGGTTTGTGAACAAGGTGCATAATTTTATTTATTTATTTTTTATCTTCACCCAAGGGTATTTTTCCATTTAGTTTCAGGTAGAGTAGAAAGGAAGGACAGAGAAACATTGACGCGAGAGGGACACCTCAACTGGTCACCTCCTGCACAACCCCAACCAGGGCTGGGGTCGAATTGCCCCAAGGTACGCACCCCTGACCAGACTCGAACCCAAGATTCACTAGTCCGCAGGCCAACACTCTAACCACTGAGCAAAACCAGCTAGGACTGCACAGACCATTTCAAAAGAGACTCTCTGTGCTGTGGAAAATAACTTGCATAAGAAGTTTCTTGGGGAAGCTAATGGGGCAGAAGTAAGAGGAGGGAGAGATGCTTAAAAGACAACTTTGAACTCCCAGGGAAGCACCTGGCTGTGCTAAACAAGGCTGACCCGTTCCAGGGGCCAGAAACCAGGTGCCTTTCGGAGCTGGGCGGCAGTCCAGGTGAGAGGCGAGGCAGGGATGTGGGCTGAGGGCCTGGAGGAGGGAGGGGTGGTGAGGTGAGGCCTGGCCCACCACAGTCCTGCCCTGGCCCCTGGGAGCTTTCCTCCCTGTGTCCGGGCCGGGTGAGGGGTTAATGCTATGGCCAGCAGGGAGGCCTGGCGGGCCGGCGGCTCACTTGCGGGGCTCAGTGGGGTGGGTGGCGTCGCTCGGCCAAGCCACCGCGGCCCAGCACCTCCCCACTGAACTGGTAGGTGAGCTTCTTCTTGACCTTCTTGACCTCGCCCGTCTTGCCATAGTTGCGCAGTGCACGGGCCATCTTCTGGTAGGTCATCTTCTTTCGGTTGCCCTTCTGGATGCCCCAGCGGTGTGCCAGCGCCTCCTTGTGCTTGGACGAGAACTGGAAGGTGCCCTTGTCCTTGTCCACCCACCAGATGCTGTCCTTCATGTCGCCACTGCGGAGCAGGTCGAGCAGGAACTGATACAGGCGGATCTTCTTCTTGCTGCCTGTGGGTGGGAGGTGGTCAGCGCCCCAGCACGGGGTCCCATGCCCACCACCCCAGATGGAAACCCTTGGGAGTTCTGTTTGGAGAAGGACGGTAATGGGGGAGGTCCACAGGGGAACCAGCTCCCCCACCTATGCTTGGGACACACACTCCCCTCATACTCACACACCCATCTACACAGATGCTCCCACAAAACACACGTGAACATACACATCGGCAAATGTTCACACACTCACAGTACACACGCACACTCAGCTCGGTGGTATGACTACTGCGTCAGTCAGCCTTGGTTGGGGTGGGCATGGGCACAAATATGGCCAGAGTCGGGGCTGAGGCTGGGCCCCTACCTGTCTCCCCGTGCAGGAGGCCTGGCCCCGGCTCCAGGCCATCGGCTTCCCCATCAGACACCTCCAGTGGGGGGCTCTGCCGCTCGCCCTCCTCCTCATCCGTGCTGGGCTGGGCCGGGGACAGGGAGGGGTACGGGAGGCACACGCGGGGCAGGTAGGAGACCTGGAGAGAGCGGAGGTCAGTGAGGGACGTTTGACGCGCGGGGCTGCAGGGCAGGGGTGACCGAGGGAGAGAGGAGGGAGGTCAGCAGGGCCGGAAGGGTGTGGAAGAAGGCTGAGGTCATTGGAGGTCAATCGGGTTACAGACAGGGTCACCACACAGGGTGCAGGCCATGAGGACAAGGGGCTGCTGAAACCCCACGAGGCTGGGCCCCTGGCTCAGGGCCGAGCGGCCGGGGAGGGGCTCAGCGGGCTCTTGCGCACGAAGGACTGTGTGGACCAGCGGTGGCCTGGGTGAGAAGGGGTGACGGGCCGCCGGGTGCAGTACCTGAGCGAATGGGTGACGAGTGAGTGACGGGCAGGGCAGGGAGGGTGGCAGAGGTCAGTGGGAGTCACTGACGGGGATTAGGGCTGGTGGGGCTGAGGAGGGTCATAAAGGGGTCGGTGGGGAGAGGGAGGAGCCAGTGAGGTCAGTGCAGGTCAGTGCTCAGTGACTTGGATGCCAGATGCATCAGGGCCAGTGACGGAGGGTTGCAGCCAGCGAGGGTCAGGAGGGCCCATAACAAGGCCGTTAGGGTCGGGTGGGTCAGTGTGTGGGGGGATTATCTGGGCCCTGTCCATCCTGGGGCGACAGGAGATAAGGGCGTGGGGTCACGAGGTCAGTCAGAGGGTCAGGAGGAGCCGTTGGGGCTTGGCCACCGTTGGCACTGGCACTGCAGGGCAGGAAGCCGGGTTGGGTAAGAGCCTGTGTCAGCTTCCTGTGAAGCCCGGGCCTCACCACAGGCCTCGGGCTCCCGCGGGCACACGCACCTGGTGGCTGAGGCCGGCGTGGGTGGGCGCCATGGGCGTGTCCAGCACGTGCATCTGCTCCAGCTCCATGTGGCGGTACAGCTGCTGCAGCTGCGGGGGCTGCACGCTCTGCAGCTCCGTGAAGTGGTTCTCGGCGAAGCTCTCGAACTCACTGTGGACGTGGTGCGGGTGGAAGTCCCAGTAGTGGTCTGCGGGCACAGCCAGGCAGCAGGGGTGAGCCGGGGTGGGCCCGGCAGGGACAGGTGACAACAATTTAAAAAATAACAATGGCAGGCCGGCCTGTCAGGGTAGCTCGGTTGGTTACGCCAAGATTGCGGGTTTGATCGCTGGCCAGGGCACATACGAGAGGGAACCAATGAATGCATCAATAAGTGGGACAGCAAATTGATGTCCCTCTCTCTCTTTCCCTTCCTGTCTCTCTGGGTGGTGTGCCTCAGTTGGTTGAGTGTTGACCCATATACCAAAAGGTCACCAGTTCCATTCCTGGGCACATGCCCAGGTTGTGGGTTCAGTCCCTGGTCGGGCTGCATGTGGGAGGCAACTGATCGATGTTTCTCTCTCACATAGATATTTCTCTCTCTCGCTCTTCCTTCCTCTCTCTCTAAAAAATAAATAAATTTTTAAAAACCTTTTTTTTTTTTTTTAATTAATCAATAAATTTTTTAAAAAAGAAAAGAATGCCAGGCCTTATGGGGCAATTACCACGGGCCAGGCTGGGCCACAAGTGGACATCAACCATCTAACCATCCAGCTCATTATTTACAATCCCCATTTTATAGGTGAGGACCCCGAGGCTGGTAGAGGCTACGCACACAGTTGCCCGTGGTCAAAGGCCTCAGCGGCGGCAGAGCCGGGACCCAGGCTGATGCCAAGTCTGCGTTCTCAACAGCGTTTCTACTCTGCCTCCCATGAGGCTGCGAGGACGCAGGCTTTTGAGCCAGAGTCTGAATCTTGATTCTGACATTTAATTCCTGTGTGACCTCAGGCATATGCATGGGCCTCTCTGGCCTCAGCTGACTCACCTGTAAAATGGGGATAATAGTTCTCAGGAGATTACCAAAGAGTTCACATTTGTAAAACTCCTAACCCCAGAGTAGGCTGGGAGTTAAGACCTCCCAGTTGTTCCTGAGCTGTCTGGCTGTCCACAGCCACATGTACATGGCCTTGTCACACAGCCAAGGTGTGTGACTGCAAAGTCACAGGGCTGACATTCCTCACACACCAGAGCTAGTCCAGGCGCATGGTGCTGCCCCTTCAAAGCGTGTCCTTGGGCGGCTGTATTTGTGTCAGTCAAGTTGCTAGGACCTGAGGCTTTCCTGGAAACTCCCCCATGGGTGCTTTCAGAGTCTGCGGTGGGGTGGATTCGAGTTTGGGAAACAGTCCCATGCGCTGGGAGCCCTGTCTTGGGTCTCTGGCAGGTCTTCAACATGGTTCCTCTGGGCACCTTTTCCAGGAACAAAAACTGCCACATGTCTGAGGACTTCCTGGATACAATTTGAGGTCCAGAAGAAGACGTGATGATAAAGTGACAAGAGGGATTCTCTCATGTGACCCAAAGACAGAGTGCGTGGGATGCTAGGCTGGGCAGCGTCTCTGGGACAAACACGAGGCCTTGCAGGAGGACCACCGCCAGCCTCGTGTGCGCATGTGTGTGTGTGTGTGTCTGTCTGCCTCGTTCTTTTTCCCACTCATACATCCCTCAGAAATGACATGTGTTTGGGGCTCTGTGGTAGCTTTGCCCTGTGGCCCTGTGCCTCTCATCCCCCACTCGAAAAGTCGGACACCACTGGGTAGTGACCAATGCCCCGTCCACATGTGAAATCATTTGACTCCGCAGTCCAGACCAGACTCCCACCTCTGTGGGCTGCATGGCATAGAGGAGAGAAATACACCCTGTGGGAGTCAGGCAGAGCTGGGTTCAAGTTCTGACTGCCCTTTACCGCTGTGTGGCATGGGCAGGTCACTGTGCTCCTCCGGGCTTCCGTCCCCTCACCCGTAAGACGGGGCTAATAATTACACCCATCTCCTAAGCCTGTTGTGAGGATCCAATGAACCTGCAAAGTGCTTTGACTAGAACCCGGCACAAAGTAAGACTCAATAAACATCTATTATTATTATTACTCTTATTACTAGCTTATTCTAAAGAGCCTGGATTAGCACTTGAGCAAAGGGCAGAAGCTTTAATATATATTTATTTCCTCTTCCTCCCCCTGCTCCCGTCACCTCAGTCAACGGCCCAGAGACACAGTGTAGAGGCCCGTGTCCCCCTCTCCCAGAGGCTGGAGCTGGGGCCCCGGCGTTGAACCGCGGTGGCCCTGACTGCTTTGATCCAGCTCCGTGGTCCCAGTGTCTGCACCCAGTAGGCACAACAAATATTTCCCGAATGAATCCTATTCTCTTAAGAACCTCCTCTGACTCTCCTCCACACAATTACCAAACCTGAAGGGAAAACAAAGCAGCACTTAACTTGTGTGTTCGTTTTGCCATGAGTTGGAGAGATCCAGAAACTCCTCACTTGCTGCGGGGGGGCTGCTCTGTCCTTTGGAGACAGGCCCTACGGGGGCTCTGGGATTTAGCGAGCACTTCCGGGTTCCTCTTTAGCTGTAAATCTACCCCCCACTCCTGGCCCTTCCCATTTCTGCTTTCCCCTGCCCACGCTGACGTGCCCACATCTCTGTAGAATGCCCCATTGATCCGGCCTACCAATCCCCCACCTTCACACCCATTCCACTTAGAGGCTGGGGGGACCCTGAGCACATGCAACTCTCCAGGTGTGGGTGAGGGCCCTGACTGCTCTTTCCTTCCTGTTCCCACCTCTGTTCTAGCTCCCTCGGAGACCCATGGGCTCACTCCGGTGGTCTCAGCCCGAGGCCAGCATTTCCCAAAGCGGGTCACAGTAGACCTGCATCAGAGCCCCTTGAGGAGCTGGAAAAGCCTGCAGGTTTGGGGCTCACGAGATGGTCACTATAGTATTATCCTCGTTTGTACATGAGGAAACTCTGACTCGAAGAGATTAAGTCCCATGTCCACAGGCAGTCATTGGTACAGTCAGGATCCAAACCTCCCTGTGCATGACTCCAGGGACTGAACCCTTACCACTCCACCATACCACCCCGGAGGAGCAAGCTGTTGCTGAAGCTTTAAGTAAGACCCGTGGTGACAGACTTTACTGACTGCTCTTACCCTTCTGCCTATCTACCATCATCCGCCCCTCCTCAGTCATCCGTCATCCAACCATTACCTGTCCATGATCCACCCATCCAACCCAACATCCACCCATCCAAACATCCATCCAGCCAGCAGTAACCCATTCATCTGAATCTCTCATTTCCTCCCTCTAAACCAACTCCCAATCTGAGACCAAAGTCCTATCCAGACATCCCTATTCTTACTCAGCTTTTTGGTGCCACTAATACCTGTATGTTACCAGGACAAAAATAAAATGAATTCTTTTTTTATCCTCACCTGAAGACATTTTTCCATTTTTTGTTCAGATAGAATGGAAGGAAGAGAGAGGAAGAGAAAGAGAGAGAGAAACATCGACATGAAAGGTACACATCAAGTGGCTGCCACCCGCACGACCCAACCAGGGCCGGGGACACACTGCAACCAAGGTACGTGCCCTTAGCGGGAACCGAACCCGCTCTCTCCAGACCGCAGGCCGATGCTCTAACCGCTGAGCCAAACTGGCCAGGGCTAAAATGAAATTTAAGACAACCTCCCACACACAAATTCAAGCCTCAAGTGTCATTTAGTTGACCTTATCTCCTCCAAGCAGAAACCCCAGCCTGAAGCCAGGGCTCCCCCAGGGGAGCAGAAGTAAGAACCAGACAGAGAAGGAGGATGAGGAATTAAGAAAGTAAGAGCTGAGAAGAAGAAACCTTCCGAGGAAATCACAGACCATTGGACGAGGGCCCCTCCAGGCCAGCCTCCTGCAGATTGTTCAGACGTGGAAACTGGGGCCCAGAGTGGAGAGCTGCAGGTCTCGTGGTCCCTGTTACTCTCTACATGGGATCTCAGTTATTAGGGCTTTAGTTATTTCTCTTGTTGCAAAGACACATCTGGCAGGACTTGAGTTGTATTTATTCCTCAGCCCCTAGCAATATGCCTGGAATATAAAAGGTGCTCATGGCCCTGGCCGGTTTGGCTCAGCGGTTAGAGCGTCGGCCTGCGGTCCAGAGAGACCCGGGTTCGGTTCCCGCTAAGGGCACGTACTTCCGTTGCAGTTTGTCCCCGACCCTGGTTGGTCGTGCAGACCCTGGTTGGTCGTGCAGACCCTGGTTGGTCGTGCAGTGGCAGCCACTCGATGTGTCCCTTTCACATCAATGTTTCTCTCTCTGTGTCTCTTCCTCTCTCTCCCTCCCACTCTATCTGTACAAAAAATGGAAAAATGTCCTCGGGTGAGGATAAATAAATAAATAAATAAATAAATAAATAAATAAATAAAAAATAAAAGGCGCTCATGCCCTGGCCAGTTTGGCTCAGCGGTTGAGCCTCAGCCTGCGAACCAGAGGGTCCCGGGTTCGGTTCCCGCTAAGAGCACATACCACCAAAAAAAAAAAATAGTAATAAATAAAAGGTGTCCATATATATTTATTGGATGGATAAGTCAGTGGGAGATAGATGGAGGGTTTGGTAGGTGGAGGAAAGGTGAATGAGTAGATGATAGGATTGATGTGTAAATAATTGGTTGATGGTTAGTGGTATGAAAGAATAAAAGAGTGTATGGAAAGATGTATGTATGGAGAGAAGGAGTCAGACTTTGGATCTCCTTTACCAATCCCGTTATAAACAGCAAGCCCTATCAAGCCCAGTAAAATAGCTATTATCCAAAAACAGAAAGTGACAAGTTGGTGAGGATATGGAGAAACTGGAACACTCATGCACTGCTGGTGAGAATATAGAATGGTGCAGCCACTATGGAAAACAGGATGGTGGTTTCTCAAAAAGTTAAAATGACCATAAATCCAGAAATTCCACTTCTGAGTGCATAGCCAAAGAGCTGGGAAGCACGAACTAGAAGAGATATCCGTATCCCATATTTACAGCAGCACGATTCATAACAGCTGAAAGCAACCCAGGTGTGCATTAGCAGGAATGAGTACACAAAATGTTGTAGAAACACACCACGGAATATCACTCAGCCCTAAAAAGGAAAGAAGTTCTGGCACAGGCTGCAACATGGATG